ACAGAGTAATTCCTGGATTTTAGGTAAGACTGGTCATTAGTATTTAACACAAAAATAGATTGTTTAAAATATTCCTTAAAGGCGACGCTGGTTACCCTCTACAAACTTTTTTAATGACTCCTTTCCGCATGGCAGAAGCTGGTTCACCACAAGCTCGCTACAATACAATACACTCTAAGGCTCGAAATATGGTAGAACGGACGATTGGAATATTGAAAAGCCGATTTCGTTGTCTTTTATCTGTGCGTGGCTTACATTATTCACCAGCAAAATCTACACAAATTGTGAATGCTTGCTGCGCTTTGCATAATATTTGTCAACACTTTCGCGTGGAACTTTCTGAAGAAATTGCAACCGCTTCAAGTACGGAAATAAGCAATGAAAACCTGAACATTGAAACAGAAGACGAGGACGCCGCCAGAAGAATTCGCAATAATATTTTGTTATCCATTTAATAGAAATAAAAAACTCTAACTCACATTTAATTATTTGTACTTCATTCAGTCTTCTTTTATTTTCAATGGTTAAATAACTTATATTTAATATTCATTAAATATCACTTCATGTGCTCTTAAAATTAGGTTTTTCAAAATGGTTAATTTAAAAAAGTATCACTTCATGTGCTCTTAAAATTAGGTTTTTCAAAATAGTTAATTTAAAAAAGTATCACTTCATGTGCTCTTAAAATTAGGTTTTTCAAAATAGTTAATTTAAAAAAAATATCACTTCATGTGGTCTTAAAATTAGGGATTGCAAAACTTATAATTAATAAAAAAAAAATATTACTTCATGTTGTACAATTAAATTAAAAAATATTTCAAATTATTAAATTAAAGCCCTTTCAATGTTTGTCAAATAAACATCAGTTCTCCATTCACGAGCTGTTCTCGTCTTGCAAATAGCCTCTTAATTTAGCTATTTTTAATTGCTCAACCTCTACCTTCAACAAATGTATATCATGGGCTCCCCTAGCCTGCCTTTCAAACAATTTATATTTTTGTTGCTTTATGTGCAGCAATTTTTTATTAATGTCGTAATTTTTGTACGCCGTCTTTTCAATTCAATCATTTTTTTAGTACCTCTTTTTGCGTTTCTGCCTGCATTTTTAGGAGCTCTAGACGCTCAGTTTCTAAATTGCAGCTCCTGCTGCGATTTTGTACACGCGATGCTGACGAAGAGGGCCGATCTTCAATGTTTGCTACCTGGGGCTCATAAACCATGGACGAAGCTGCAACTAAGTCGTCTTCTATTTCTTCGCCATCCATCACCGGTGGTATATTCTCTACTCCGAACGCCCGGCCACTGGGTGCAACTTGTTCCCTTATCTGAATAAGTTCCGCAACACTTTCTTCTAGTGGATTTAAAGAAACCTCTTGCGACGGACCACCACCAGTTCCAAGAATATTGCTGCGATTGTTGGCAAGCTTCCTTTTTAAATTTGCCTTATAGTGTATCCAAACCTACAGGAGAAATAAATTATTGCGCTTTCATTGTATTGGTCTAATTCCATGATTACTACTTACTCGTCCCCACTCGTGCGCAGTTCTTGTTGGTGGTCCGAAACTGTTTAGCTCTATGGCAAATTGCTCCCACAACCCCTTGCTTTTACTTTTGCTGCTTCCAAATTGCGGCTTGCCTCGTCCAGTTTCGGGATGCTTCTACATCAGCTCAACTAGTTTTTCAAACTGTTGTTTCGTTGTAAGTTTATTTTTTCTACAAATTTGTAAGAAATTCCTGATTAATATATTGGTTTAAGACAAATTAAAAAAATTTAATTACCCGCTTTCCATTTTCGCTTAAAAATTTGTTCAAAACAACTGCTAGTAATGAGTTGTCGATTTTCGATACTTTTGTCAACCGAACTAGCACAGGGTGGTAAACGGTAATACCACAAAAAAGTTGTAAGACGATATAAATACAACCAAACATTTTTTGACAGGTTGAGTTGTTATCGATAATACCAAATTGTAAGTTTTCAACTGAAATGGAGTTGAGTTGTAAACCGTAATAGGGGCATAAATTTCATTAAATGGAAAAGGGGGAGCCGGGTTCGACCTTATAATCTAAAGCTCTGTTGAGGCATTTGCTACAGTAATGAGAAGTGATATTTTATCAAGGCCAGGTTACTAAATTTGAGTTGGAAATATTAGAACTCGCCGTGCCACCTCCAAGAAGGTTACATGTTCACGCGTCGTATACCTGGAAACATTTTAAGGTAAACTTAGAGGGATTGATATCTTTCGTATGCCTAGCGCGCAGACGAGATTTTATAATTTCATAGTTTTAAACGACCTAAATACCTTAACTCGCTTAAAAATAACGAGCTATCACGAAATGGGCACAGAAATAAAATCTAACATCATTAAATTATTTTTCATATTTCTATAAAAGCGCGGGGTGAAAGCCGCGGGTATAAGCTAGTATATGTATAAAGAAAATCCACTTACTTTTGGTCCATCACCACTGTCAAACACTGTCAAATGTAAACAAACAAATTATGTATGTACATACATATGTACATATATAAAGAAAACCGACTTACTTTTGCTCCAACACCACTGCCCCCGCTTCCAAGACATCTAGAGGATTTAACACTCTGTAAAATGTAAAAATAAAACCATTGTTACTAATATGAAATTATGTGTGCACATATATACATATATAAAGAAAACACACTTACTTTTGCTCCAACTCAACTGCCACCGCTTCCAAGAAATCTAGGGGATTTAACACTCTGTCAAATGTAAAAAGAACAAACAATTGTTATTAATATGAAGTTAAGTATATACATATCTGCG